TTTATTGGACTAAACTTTATCCTGTTTTTACTTATTGCACTAGGCCAGTTTTTGATCTTCTTGGAGATTAGGAAACAGTCAAAGAAAAAACGGCGAATGAATGTGGCAAGAACAAACGATTTGACGGTTGCAAGAAATCTCCTCCTGCTTGTTTTGACTGATTTCTTGTGTTGGTTTCCAATTGGTTGTATGGGTAATGTGGTTTGCTTATGATCATGTGTTAACAAAAGAATTCGTTAGCCATTTCTAATTGAATGTTGTTGTTTTTTTTTCAATTTGAGAAGCTGGCGCCTGTGTTTTCCAAGAAACATCTGGATCAGGCTTAAATGATCGGGGTTTTACTTTCATTGAACATGAAAATAATATTGATCGTATTACAAAATTTAAAAAAGATTCGATATATTGCTTATTTGCAAATAAAATACCCTGCTTCGGGATATTATTGTAACAATACAAATAGAAGATTGATTGGATCAAAATAAGGATACATTTTATAATGAAGATCAATAGTTGAATCATCTTTTGTAATTAAAGTTTTAACTATTTGTATGTTATTCTAAACTTTCATAAATGTGCTATTTCAAATTCCACTTTTATTAATTTCATAATAAGAATTAAGCATATAAGCATAAACACCATAGCTTTGATCCTGGTCCTCAAATTAAAATGAACAAAGTGGCAGATAAGCACAATTATTTTATGTATGGGATGTATTATTGATTTCGCTTGGGATAGCAGATACATGTTATACACAAGAAGACGCAACGATAGATAACAAAGCTGATTAAAGGGACACTTTTGGTCCTCATTACCTTTGATGCATAGCATTTGATGTAAATGATGGGTGTGTAACAAATAATATGGAAATTTAAATTTGTCAATGTGAATCATCATGTACCGTATTATTCATAAAAAACCTTGCTCAATAAGTAAACCATTTTTCTCGGATCTATATTAGGCTATGTTATATTAATTTCCCTAAATTTCAGGAATTATGGCGTTAAGAGATAAATACGTACCAGCAGATGTGTATGCGTGGACGGCAATTCTTATTTTGCCAATTAATTCGGCTATGAACCCATTCTTGTACACATTTTCTACAATATTTGGGAAAATGGTAACGTCAGTTTAATTACAAAAAAATAATACATTATTGTCATTGTGAACAACTAATTTTATTACAAGTTTACGAAATGTTTCAACGAAATAAACATTGAAGCACTTTCAGCACTTTTAGTTCCCTACCGGTTTAATCGATTTTAGGTTTACCCTTCGTCCGTCTGTCTGTCCACCTGTCCGTCCGTCCACAAAAACTGTACCCCATTATAACGCTTAAAGTACTGAAAATAGTTTCATGAAACTTGTAATATGGGTAAAATGCAGTCGGAAGAGTAAACGTTATTTTAAGCTCGTCTATACGGGGAGTATATTGAGAGCTTGACTACTCTCCTAGAGTTGGCGACCGCGTCTAGATTTCCGATTAGATTTTGTACGCAGTAAAATGTTTTTCACTATAATAATTACTTTTTATATCTTAGCAGAACCCCTCGAAATTCATGCTAGTTTTCATTAACGTTTTGTAAATGTATCTAAAAGTAAAATATTGTGAGGTGAACAAAAAGAAGTTATTAACATATTGCAATCGGCACTTACAATCCAAGACAATTACCAAAAATTACGTATGCAAAAATAGCACTTACTGCGTTAGTAACGCAGAAGAAACGTGGTTATAAAATCCTGCAAATTCAGTCTTTAACAGCACAAAACATAAAAAATATAACTTGGATCTTGACTGTTTTTACTTATTTCAAAAATATTAGTATATATGTCTCAATATTGATTCTCTTGAAATATTTTGGCACATCTGGAGGTATGCAATTTTAAGGTATCTACATGTACTTCAAACGTCAAATATGTTTCTATAAACCCCATCATACGTGACAAGGTTCATAACTCTAGCACCTATGTTATCAACATAACCCCAATGAACTTACAATTTTCATGAAAAATGTTTTTTCTTTGAATAACCTTTTTTTTAACATTATTTACTTCAAATTTCAAATACATGTATATGTTTCTTTTCATAACACACACCATGTGTGGCAATCAATGTTCATAGTTCTAGAACCTGTATTATCAGAATCATCATCCTTAACATATACTTTTTTAAACTTTTTTATTCATTAAGGTATCTACTTCAAACATCAAGTATGTGCTCCTTATTATCACAAACGTGAAAAACGTGTGAGAAAATTCAATACTCTAGTTTGACCAATTCCATTGTGTCACCCTTAGACTGAGACTTTTTCTTTAGATTTTTTTTCATTTTTCTGTTACTCGTTCATTTCTTAAAGGATTGACTTCCCCACATCATAATACTATGGCAAGGTTTACAAACCTAAACCTGCATTTTTTTCAGAATATCCTTAGTTATTCTTTAACTTTCTTATTTCTTCTCGGATTTACTTCAAACTATTAATATATCTTGATAATTAACTTCATATGTGATAAGCGCCTGGGTTTAAATGATAAAGTTTCATTCTGATTTCATTTGAATTTTATTCTTTATTGTCTTCTTTGTTACTTATAATGAAACATATTTGAAAATTTGTTATATTCTTTCACTTTTCTTCTTTGTTACTATAAATGGCTCAATATAATTGTCTAAAGTGATCTATCTTATCATGTATGACAAGCTTCATAAGTCTAACATCTTTATTTAAAGAGTTATTTCCTCTTTAGTTTACGGATTTTTTTTTAAATGTTGTAGTCTGGTTTCAACAAGGAAGGTTTAAGATCCCCGCATGTCTGTCAGTCCGTTTGAAATGCCCAACAATATTAGGTTTTAGATACATAAAAAAGATTGCACAGGCAAACAGAGAAAAGTGACCCTTTTAAAAGTGTAGATGAATTTGTTAAAGACAATAAAATGTATTTGAAATTTAAATCATTGCTTTAATGTTAAAATGTTTTTAATATTTCAGAAATTAAATCCGGATGTAGACGAACAAGTACGTGTCGACTTAGGAAAAGGTAAACATGTTACATGAATCTCGTAAAACATAAAAATGTAACATAAAAAAATATTCTTATTGAATTTATTAATCAAAGCACAGAAGGCGCTGAATTTGTTTGGGTCTCCGAATGCCACAAAGGTGAAGTTATGAGACTATAAACCAATTTGTTTTTGTATATTGCCACCACGTTTCCAGTGTTTTAACTGTAGTAAATTGGCTATACGGCTGATTGCAACACTGATATTCAATACAATGTTTATTTGGTTTAAAAAAGAATAATTAGAAAAGGAGTCCCTCAATTAGGATTTGAACTATAGACCTCTCGAGTCCTATGCGAGCGTGCAAACACCTAGGCCACGGTGAAGTTACATGATAACGGCCTGAAAAAAACCATATTAATCTAAATTAGGGTTTGTAACGCATATTATTTTGACGCTAAACATCATGAAGCTAAATATAAGCATGTATAAAGAATGTATAATAAAGAATGCATAATAAAGAATATAACTATGTAAGAAATATTCGACCATTCAGGAACTGGTTTGCTCGAAAATTTAAACCCCTTTCATTTGACAATCTTTACGCAGTGATCTCCCCTGAATGTTTCGGCGTTATTGTACATGTAAAGGGAAGTAACCACTACAAAAAAGCGACCACTTCCGGCAATCTGCAAATGAACAGCATCAGGGGCTGAAATTTCGCTACCATTATTTGTTTGGTCTGACAACCCAAACAAATAAAAACTATGAAAAGACCGACATAGTTTTTTATCATGTACCGGATAAAAGAATCAATCATATAAGTGTGGCTTTCACACACATCACGGGAGAATTGTAATTCATTGGTAAACGGTCCTAATTTGTTTACACTTATACTCTTTTGACCAATCTAAATATATCGGACGGAAGGAAAATAAAAGACGCTTGTCGCATGATTATATTTACGCACTTTCATTTTAAAATAAAATGTTTCTGATTGTTTATCTTTTCGTTGTCAAATTTCACAGCTAATTATTCAAATAATAAACCCAAAAGAATATTCAATAGATTTCAATATGCAATACCTTTAATGAAAGATTTTGTTGTTCGTGTCTGAAAACTGAATATACTCAAAATGGTACATTCAATCCTCTCGCATGCGCTCTCTATACAAAAATCACCAAGTATCTATAAAACCGATAGCATAAACTACGGCATAGGTGACTGAGAATATTTCAGGCGAACGAATAAAATGAAAAACTAAAGAATAGAAAATTACAAAGAAAAGTAATGAATATTTTTTGTAATGTAGAAATCGCTACGGCGGCAGTTCTTGACACATTGCCGTACTTTATGGCAAGGAGACTCAGACGTGGAACTCGAATAATTTCTCTACAAGATCATTTACATGGAGGGACTATGACACAATGGGAGAAACTATGTGTAGCATACCAGTTGGCTGAGTGTTTGAGCTGCCTACATTCTAATGACCTAGCCTTAAAAAAGATTACAACGAGCACGATATTGCTTCGCTTGAACTTACTAACCAACGTAAGTTGTATGCAATGTATTTTAGATATGTCTTTGTTTCAATTAATGATATTTGCCATATTTGCAACTTTTTTATATGGTGAACATACAATGTAATCAATATAGCAAATACATGACAGTGGCTGTCATTCTATTTAAACTTCAATGAATCGAGATCAGCCTTAAAATGTTATTAAGTCTACCTATGTCGAGCGTATATAAATATGTATTTCCTAGTGACGAGTATACTAGTATGAACTCTATTTTACGAGTACAAAGCTGCCTAATCTGTATTAGTGCTCGCCAATTTTTTTAAGCCAATCACCGACGAGGATTTTTCAAATTTTCAGGTTTCAAATCTTAATAGAGCCGATTTTATATAAACTGGACGTTTTATATTATAAAACGCAAGTGGGCGGAGCTAAGTTTCGAAGAGCGCTAAAGTGAAATATACGCATGTGCAGAGATATTGAAGTTTACTCCTACTAATCAATATTTATGCATCATGTTTTTCCGTACACGCACATGTATATCGTCACTACGGCATAGAATTAAAAAAAGAGGTTCATTGAAATGAAAACAGGCAAAATAACAGTAAAAATGTTTTATTACTTACGGAACCAGTATCATTTTATAATTTCCAAATAAAAAGTTCACTTATTCCAACAAAGTATGTATGTAATATTTCTTACTTTTTATGTAAATATTACAGCCCGTGCCGCTGCAAAACCGAAAGTAGGGTGTTTTTAATAATTTTACATTTATTTTTGACAAAAATCTGCCATTGTCCGAAGATGATATGTATATGAACATAATAAATATGTATGCTGCATATATAATCAAGCTACAGGTTCATTTCAGCCCGAAAAATATGTCGAGGTGACGGGCGAGGCAAGACATGTCGACTTTTTGTAGCTTATTGTGAAGTTGCAGTACTTGAAAATCGGGCACATGACAAATCAGCACATGAATAAACCATTCTAGTGTTCCGTGGTCATACCTCCTTTTCTTATTACAATGAATTTTTACTGCATTGTTATCCATCGCTGATTTGTTTTTAGCAGAGAATGACCTGTGTATGTTCAAAGAGGGTACCGTTTGAGAATATTTCGCAAAGAGGGTACCGATATGGATATGCACCGTGATATTGTCTGATTTACCTAGACAGAATGCCGGAATAAGCTATGCAAAACACGTGACCCGAAAATGTGTACCGCTACCTCTTCCAAATATGGTTATACACATCTAGGCTATCGTGTGACGTCACGCAGTGTGTTGGGCGGAAAAAAATGGGCGGAGCACTAAGCCGGTTAGAGTGCATATTGGATGTTCTTCGTAAATAAGAAAGCTACAGTCGCTTCGCAAGCTCCGCTCCTTTTTAGCTTTCTTATTTACGAAGAACACCCAATATGCACTCTAACCTATACATGGAAGAGGCGTTAGCAAAGTTAATAAGTAGGTTTTGGAAGTTGTGCACGAGTGTAATAGATATTTATACTTGATTTATACTCAATAATGTATTCAGGCAACAATTTCACATTGACAATTGTTTGACATTTTGACAAAACTTTGTTAATCAAAAGGATTAATCTGGTTCCCTGCCTGCATTTCATGCGGAAAGTAATGTAAGAGGGGAAGGAACTTTAGACTAAATAAGGATTTGATCAGGATTATCTTTCAAAACGAAAATGAGGCTAGAGAACGATCAATGGCAGCTCGATGATATTATTTTAATTGGAAAATGATAACGAGGCTAACTGAAGTAGTGGCAAAATAAAAACGAGGCTAAATTGATAAGATTGGATCAAATAAGGAGTATAGTGGTAGATCAAACTATACAAACGCTGAGTGTTTATCTGTTTCATAGTATAAGGTGTGAAATAAGCTTACATTTCGGGCCCTATAGTAATTATTGTTCTACCAGTCGCATTATCACTACTAGTATATTAAATGTTATGGAAAAATATTAAAAAATGAGTATGAGTATTAGATAATTATAATACAACACTAATGTACTAATGAAAATGCCTTAGCAGGATTATTAAAATGAGGTCATTGAAAATGTTGCACTTTTGATTAACAAAGAATTCGTTTAAGTTTGATTTTTATTTTGTTTCAGTCTGTTGCTATGATACAATTACAACGACCAACAAGCGGGAAAAGTCGAGTTTCACGTGCAGAGAATGTGTATCAGTTCGGCTGTGTTGTTGGACAGCTTTTCTCGTAGTGTTGATCTAAAATGTCTTTGGATAGCCGTAGCCGTAGTCTGTCCGTATGCTTGATTTCTTTTTCCAACAAATTTTGTGTTCCGATGTGATATATTTTTATTTGTGTCGGGGGTGGGGGGGGGGGGGTGGATGTTGTATTTTCTTTATTATCCTTATGTTCAGGCTTAATCAAACCGAGTCTGAATTTTCATGTTATATTGTTGTGATTTATGATTCCGAGGGAACACTCCTTTTTAGATATTTTTGTTACAAAAATATACTATATAATCGGTTTTGAAACGTTACTTAAGGATGTAAATAATAATTATTCTAATGAACCGGACATATAAGTTGTAGGACTTATCTTTTCAAACACTCTTATGATATTGTGCGAATTTTCATTGAATCGTAAAAACTTTTAATAGACTCAAATTGGTTTTAATTCGCGGTTAGAATGATGTGTTTCGTTTAAATTAATTCAAGTAAAAAGTAATTTTATAATTTAAGTTTAACATTTATGTTTTCCTTTTACTTTTATGTATCATCCTATTTTACTTTACATTTCCAACCAAACGTATCAATGGGTTTCTTTTTAACTTAACAAATTACATTTCCTGTTTAATTTTAGGGTTGAGAAAATTCAAATCTTGACAAGAAATGAAATTTATTCCAGAAAAATTAAATCTGTATACTTTATATTTTGATCACTCATATTTTCTGTACTAAATAAGCTTAATTAAATACCGAAACCTGATTCTAATATTGATGAAGGGAATATAATTTCAAATTAGGAACATAATACCTTTAGTTATATAAAATGAAATTTTAAAAAGTGTTTATCAAATTTCGCATTTATCCTCATCTTAATTGGAAACAAAAGTGATAATTTATGCGGCCATTTTTAAAAAAACTAGGCCAGTTTCCGTTACCATAGAGTCAAACCTGGCCAAATGCTACTGATGCCTCAAATATCGTGTTTTTTTTTGTTTGGTAATGAAATACTTTACATGTCAAATGGAATATTCAAAATTCAAAGCAGGGTAAATCAATCACACATATTGAGCAGGCAAGCGTTACAAAATAAATTTGTTTGATGCAATATTTGTCATATTAAGTAAATCTGTTCCTTACTGGATTTAAACTGACAAGGAGCAGCGGACATCCTAAATATCAATGGTATCAAAGTTGATTCAAATCAGGAAACTACTGCAACGGTATGCAAGCTGATTCTGTAGCCCAGTTTAAAGAAACCCCCGTAAATAAAGTGACGTCAAAGACTGACTTCCTGAATGACATATTAGATTATTAATAAGCAGTTAATATGATATTCAAGGCAGTTTATTTACTTTCCTTTTTTTGTCCCCGATTATTTGTTTAGTTGAATTGTTTTGTTTTTATATTTATGTTCGTCTGTTTCATATTTGATACTGACATTGTACTGTGTGCTTATATATTAATTAAATCAGCACGCCTCCAGATTCATGCTATTTTTTATGAAAATTCTAGAAAAGTTTTTAAAAGTATTATTGAGTGAAATAACCAAAAGGAAGCAATTTACACATTATCAATGGCAGTCACAACCAGTGTAGCCAAGTTCAAAGAGGACAAAACAAACAAAAATAGCCATTACTGCGATAGTAAAGCTGTATACGTAACATATAGTGAATAACCAGTCATTAATCGCACATTACATGTATATCATTACTTGAGTCTTGAATAGTTTTAGTTTTCCTAAAATCGTAGCACTTTTTTCTCAAGTTTGATTTAATTTAAATATTTTCGCTCATCTAGAGGCATGCAAATTTAAAGGAAGTGTGATAAAAAAAGTTACATAGACTTTTGTTTTTACTGGCTATAATCTATCTTTGTTTGTTTGTTTGTTTCATTTCACGCCTTTTTCCAACAGTATTTCAGTCATATACGCGGGTAGTTTCCTAACCATCGTTCCTGGAGAGTTACACCAGTACTAGACTACCTTAATCCGCGCTTAACTACTAAAGCAATGCCCGGCGATCGAACCCACGCCAGAGAGGTAACTGGATAAGAAGTCATCGGCTCTAACCCCTCGGCCAAGGAGGCGGTATATTACAATCTATGTAAACGTAACAACGTGAGTTGAAATATGGCGTGTATCGTTTACATATAACTTCAAAATAATAACATACCGTTGATTGTATCCAATACTTTATCTCTTATAACCGGCAAGAAAAACAGATTCACTGCTACCTCAATACTTTGCGTCTGTAAATTATAAAACATAAAACAATTAATAATATTTGCTTCATTATCTTTATACGACACCCGAAATGATTTTTTAAGCTTTCTGAATATTCCATATATCTTTGTCGCATCGCTACTACACATGTTCAGGGAAGGTAACCAATACGTTCTATTGTCCTGTTCCTGTCTGGTGCCCCTACGGGTAAGTTGTGCGACAGGAGATAGACATATTTGTTGGGGTTGCTTGCTGTGAACATGGCCGTCCATTGTTGATGATTACGTTCACATTTTATTTATGTAGACTAAGGTTAGTTTAAACATTTTTTCCAAACACATTCACAGTATATGAAAAAATAATCAGTAATGTACACGATACAGGCATGAATTGTTGAAAAAGGATTTGAAAAGAGCAGTTACATAACTTCCACAAGTATTTTCCAAACAACTTTGTTTAACACGCTACAGTCCAATGCGCACTACCGCTCAAGAAGTAATAATTATACACCGCCTAAGAGTTGGTTTGTCAGGACGATGTGTATATTGTAATGCAGTAAGTAAAATTTCCATGGAATGACGAAACTCTTTTAAGAATACAAACTAATTTCATAGTGGGTTCTGAATTCTGCTTAAGCCGGTGCTAGGGGGCTTAGACAGTACCGTCCATGAACAGACTCAATCAAACCGAACCTGCAACATTTTCAATTTGACGTGTTGGGCTTTCTGTAGGGATTCTAATTTCTCTCTATTCTTTGCGGCACATTTTAACATTCATTCAGACAAGTGATCTCATTTTTCCAGCAA